TGTAGTACCTGTGAGTCTGGAGAAGAAGATTTTTGAAATATTGGATAATTTTCCCTTTGGGGCCCCGCCCTGGCCCCAGGGGTGGGGGTAGGAATCCCAATTTTACAATTTTGAAGCCTCATCTACCAAGGATGATTCTGACCAAGTTTGAAAAAAATCCATCCACTGGTTCTTGAGAAGAAGTTGAAAATGTAAAAGTTTACGCACGACGCACGACGGACGACGACGGACGAAAAGCGATTGGAATAGGTCACTTGAGCAAAGCTCAGGTGACCTAAAAATAGTAAATGCTATTATTCTGGAGATTTGACACATTTTCTTACATTTTTCTCGATAATAGAGGGCCCGTGAGAACCCTATAGGTAACATGTATGTTAGAAAAATAAAGATTATTCACAATACCTATGGAACTGAAAAACTTGTCTTAACATGGCCGCCAGTCGCACGCGCTGTAGTCTCCGCCATCTTGATCTCGAAACAAGTTCTTGTTTGCCAAATCTTGAACAAACGTTACATTTTATATATAACTATAGGATACTTAAATATTTGATACTTTCCGGTTAAAAATGTAAATTATCTTGACATAACGTTACCGGCTACATTGCTCTAGTTCTGAATGGTCGAAAAAGTATTGTATCGGCAGTGAAGTCTCGTTCAATCAAATGCTTGCGAAGACAACAAGAGTCTGGTTGAACGAGACTATCACGCAGAGTTACGGTCCTTGAACTCTGGGTAGAGATTGCAGTGGTATATATTTAGAAAACGGAATATTAACAAAACAACTTGCTGGTTGTCAACAAAAAGGGAGTTTAACACAGAGACGCAAAATGATAGGATAAAAAAACATACAAGTATTTTCATAAGAATTTTTTAATTGATATTTTGCACGAAAAAAATAGAAGAAAAAAATTGAATCCATATCCTCGGGTTATCGGTTTTTGCGCACTTAAGAAGCATCCGCGATTTCGTACTCATATCGGCAGAAAACTGTTGAAATTACGGATGACTGTCATAAACATGTATACAATCTACTAATAGAAACAAAAAACTAGCAACATAAAACTGTATTTTAAAAAAATCAGAACAAACAATTTTTAACAAATTTCTCCCGTCGGAAGTAGCCGTCATATGTTTCTGTTTGTCTATTTTGATTTAGTGTTCAAAGAAAGATAACTCGAATACACTAAAAAGATTTTTTCTACAGTGATCTGCAAGAACAAAAGCTGCGTTTGGAATACAAAAAATATCTTTGATCGTCAAATTAATTATCAAAATAAGTTTTTTTAAATTTCACATTTTTAATTGATTTTTCAAGATGTCAAATTGAACGAAATCATGTTTTTTTCTAAAATTATTTATTATATTTATTTAGTTATAATATAGAATCTGGTATTATTTTTTTTCTGCAGTTTTATATCGGTTTTGGTTGATGGTAAGTTATTTCTCATTTTGTTCTGTTTGAAATTAGTGAAAATTGGAAGTTCATTGCATTACAAGGTTTACGTTTCATTAAAAACAGTTGATCGATATAAGATGTCTCCTTGGCTCTTCGGAAGTGGAAAAAAGTCGGAGAGGAGATGTGGCCATATTTGCATACAACATTTTCTTACGTTTGTCAGACTACAAAAAAGACCGGTTCATGAATGATATATATATTTTTTTTCAGATATGGGCTCATTTTGAGCAAGATAAAAAGTGCATTAAGCAATACTGTAATTTATGCGTGGTTTTTTTAATCGGTGATTACTTCTTATGTTTTCCAGACGAACTTCCGGTAATTTTTGTGTCAGTTTACAGACGATGGCCAAACGTCTAAAATATCATTGTGGTGTGTCCAGCAGGTCACGTAATTACGAGTTATAGCTTGATTAAATGGCTGCGCGTAAATACATAACGCGCTGAAACTGATGACTAGACGATACTGTAACATTTTCATTTTTAATTACTATCTCACAGCTATTTTTTATTCATAAAAGAAAATCTGCTGTTTTACAAATCTGCACGATTTAAAAAAAAATATCTATACAGTTTTATATGCTGAACTGATTCAATTTTTAATTGAGGAAACAATACATTTTCTCTATTGCTAAAACTATACATAAAGCAGAGACATGTAAAGCATATAGTCAGTAAGTCGCTGAAACAAATGTATTCATCCACAATATATATATTATATATAGATCTATTGACTCTCTGGGCCGCAATGATGGGTATTGAAAAATGACAAAAATTGTGATATCGCACATTCTTCTTATTTTTAATAGAAACTTCATATAAATCCAGTTTTTATAGCATTGAACAAATTATTTTTTACACATAAAAAGCACAAAAAATGTAAAATACTATGCATAATTTCTCTCTGGATACAATATTTATAAATCATTGAGGTTAAGTTTGAAGTAATCCAAAGGGCTTATTCGTAAAGATATATACATATATATATATATATGTATATCTTTTCGTGGATATCAGATAACTATGCTATTATACATGATTAACAATATCCATCCTAATATGTTTTATTTCAATGTCTTTGTAGAATATGCTGCACTTGATTTTTGCAATGGATTCAAGAGGTGCAAATTTAAATACTTATATAGAGTCTAATGAACCTTTCGCATTCTCACATTAATGTCATGTCATCATACGCCTAGGCGGAAAACTTCAAGATATCAAACACCTTGTCAGCCAAAAAGAAATCAAGAAAGGAAACTTAACTGTAATATACACTGTATAGCTATACATGTAGGTCTGATTTAGTCATTTAACACATCACTCAATGCTTGAAAGAGTACAGTACCGATATTCCGATACATTTACAGTACAACCTGGCTCCGCCCTCACTAACGGCCGTGCCGTAAAACATATTAGTCAATAAATGGATACTTCAGGAATGCATGTACATGTAAGCTTTTTCATTAATTCCATTATTCATTGCAATTTTGCGCCCCTAGAATTCTGCATTCAAATGTTACTTTTCAGACAAAGTCAACAATATTTTCAACAAATAATTTCTGCAAAGGTCATTATTGACATTTTTCCTGACATGGGTATACCAACCAACTTCCACATTTTTATCATTTTGAGGAAAAGTTATGAGCCAATCTCATACTATATACACTGACATGAGCCTGTATGAAAACCCTAAAGTTCAGTTGATTCATGCAAACTTCTTGAATCATACGAAACTAGTTTTATGAAAAACATTTTAGCCACATGGTTATTTGTAATTTAGTTAATATTTACCTTCAAAAACGGCCTTGCCAAACTTCGCATTGATGTTGCAACGGCTTGCATTGCAAACAAACTTTTTTTACACAAAATGGTGATTTTTTCGGCTTGTAATTACGCCAAATGAAACATGTCAATAGGATATTAGATTAGTTACAAAATCCTTCTGGTGTTGTAAACTCAAAATGATAGGCAACATGTAATTTCTAGTTCCGAAATCGCTTACTTTCCTTTCATTTCAAAGCTACACTTATATATTTGTAAGAGACAAACATGCCAAAGACTATGACTATGTACAAATCACTCGGGAACCTACGGCACTTTCCGTAAACGAGAAAATATTTGTTCGTTTACGGAAAGTGCCGACGGTTCCCGAATGTGTACAAATAAGGCAGTGACGTCACTTTTTTTCGTTTGCGCATCTCCTGAACCCATATTGCCCACGTGATACCTATATTCCTTCCTTTTCTGCTGTGGCGTGACTGTGAGTATGTTGTGTACACTTAATGTGTTGATTTTAAATCTGTTATAATCATGATATGGTTTGATCATCTACGATATTTTATGCGATAGTTTGAAAGATTTGACATCGAAGCATAACTGAAGTGATACATTTACGCCAAATAAATTGTACTTTCATCGGATTTTGATTTTCTATGCAATATGACAAAAAGTATCTACGTCGACATGCCGGGCGTAATGGCAGTCCAGCTCAAAATATATTAAGTCTTTCCATCTTGCGCGTCTTATAATCGTATACTGATACCTCTGCTCATAATTTTATAACTGCTATTCGAGCAGGTTATTATGTATGACAATCGTTCGTGAATGGTGTATTGCTAAAGAAGACTGGGTCTAACATGTATTGTTGAACGGGCAGCCATGTTTGACGGAAGTATTTTTTCTTTGCGTTATAGCTTAAAATATGTAATTCACCTCATGTTGATTTACACTATGAACTATGTGGAATTTGTTAGTCGTTGGGAAAATTACATTTATTTCATGGGGCTAGAATTGTGTTACTATACTTCAACTTTCAAGGGATTTGTTAATTGACGGTATATATCAACATTCCTTTATTCGACCTTTCACCTGAATGTATTTTTGAATGAAGAAAGTTATTTTTTCTTTCGAAATAATAAAATATAATGCCGATTTAAACAAATCTATAATCAATCTGATTGCACAACGGAATGTCAGACATAACATACAAATCCAATATGGCCGCCAATGGTCACTCGCCCACGTGGCTTTCGCAGACATCGACATGCAATATCATTGATGAAATCGCTTAAATAATGTGTACTCAAAACAGTGAAAATCAAAATCGAAAATTTGGACAAAAAGAACATGAACCCTCCCCTTTTTTGTTGCTGTTAAAGAGAGATTTTTTTCTTCATTGAATATTAGAATAAAGTTTATAGGCAGAACGTTTATATTTGTATCTTTGACTGATCATAGCACATACACAAAAAGAACATTATATTGAGGTTTTACTGTAATTTTCTTTTGATAATTAACATCTTTGTATGCTGTTCACCATTATCTCGTTATTTATGTATATCGCATGATCCGAATGGCACCACAGAGACATCGCCATCTAAAATAAGATATTATATTAAAAGGAAGTTGCTTCTTGATTGCAGATTCTTACCTTGTTGTAACAACCGAGAAACAACCATGGGTAAGGGAGAAAAAACTCACATCAACATTGTGGTCATTGGCCACGTGGACTCCGGGAAGTCTACATCCACTGGTCACCTGATCTACAAATGCGGTGGTATTGACAAGAGAACCATCGAAAAATTCGAGAAGGAAGCTCAGGAGGTAATTTTTACTTGTGATTCAGAGTTGTGGTATTCATCTGTTGCTTCATGAAATCGCTTCTGCATAAACCACGGGAAGGGGTGATGGATATTTAATTAGTTATACGTTTTGCAACTTGCTTTTGGCAATGGTGTCATATTGCTGAGGATTTGCCAACAAAAACAAATTCTGTAAATTTCCCAGTGGCTGGCTGTGGCTCATGGTCAATTTGATTGATTTTTTTATTCACCTAATAAAGTCTACATTAAACTCGCAAAAGTATACTATACACAATCATACCAACACCAATATTGAGTGGTATTTAATATGTATGAAAATTGTGAAAAGTAAATGCGCTAATAATGAAGCTGCACATGCATCTAATGTGGTCCTGCAGTACCAAACAGAATTAGTTCGTACATTCTGGTGACGACGGGCAGTAACTATTGTTAAAATGAATGACTCGGGATGTGAAATTTAAACAACTTTAATTATTCTGGCGAAATCGAGAGGGGTTTGGTGTGGAAATGTGTTGAAATTTTTCAATGCATGTCTGTGATGGGTTTATTTTAATTATGGTCAAAGTTCAATGAAATTTACTTTGGTGTGCAATTATCTGTAACAGTACTAGTCTAGACAGAAAAAAGGACCAGATTGATCCTTGATCATGATGTTTTTGACACCTGGACACAATTAAAAATCCAATTTACTGCATTTGTAGATGGGAAAGGGCTCCTTCAAGTATGCCTGGGTATTGGACAAACTGAAGGCTGAACGTGAACGTGGAATCACCATCGATATTGCTCTGTGGAAGTTTGAGACGCCCAAGTATGGTGTGACCATCATTGATGCTCCTGGACACAGAGATTTCATCAAAAACATGATCACAGGTAAAAAAAAAACCACATGATCACAGATACATTATCTGAAAAAAAAGGAAATTAGGCCAAAACAATGGTTACTTGGTTCTCAGGGCACTGCATTGCCGATTTTATCGTGAAAGTAATAATTTAAAAAATGTGTAAATGTGCCAGCCTTCAAAAAAAATCTAGAAATTTGGTCCGCATGTTGTATTTACACGTTGGTCAGCCAAGTCCCAAAAAACGTTTGTTCACGTTATACTTGTTATTTTTTACTCTAATGGGTACATATATGACGACAAATTAAATACTATAGGACTTGGTGACCCATGGGCCTCTTGTTTATCACCTTGGGTGGTCGCTAATACAGGTTCAACTGTATATATAAAAAAATGTTTCTTGCATTGTGGAAAGTAATAAAGTCCTGGATAAAATGGTCGTTTGATCTATAATTTCATTGATGTTGAAGCACATTTTCTGGTTTGAGAAAATGTTATTGTAGCCTTGATCACTTAGTAGTTTCTTTTCTGATCATGTTATTGCAAATATTTTTTGAATAGTATACAATTTGTTTTAAAGGAACCTCGCAGGCCGATTGCGCTGTATTGATTATTGCTGCTGGTACTGGAGAGTTTGAAGCTGGTATTTCCAAGAATGGACAAACTCGTGAACATGCTCTGCTTGCTTATACACTTGGTGTGAAGCAGATGATTGTTGCCATCAACAAGATGGACAACACTGAGCCACCCTACAGTGAAGTATGTTTACCATTGACAATATTGGTCCCAATTTTTATACGCCTGTCAAATTTGACAGGTTGTCCGGCCGGCGTAAACTTTTGTTTGTCTGGCAATCTCTTTTGAAACTTGGTTATCCGTCTTTGCGTATTGTAGAGTTATCTTCTCTTGTGAGCATGTATTGATCGTCACGTCATTGGTTTGTGTGAGAAAAATACGTTTTCTCAGAATTTGATAACGTGACTCGCAAACAAATGACGTAACAATCAATACCTGCTCACAAGAGAAGATAAGATGCAATACGCAAAGACGAAATACATTATTATCATGATGTGAAGCTTTTTCCCCCTTTAAAGAATTTTGATTCAAGTTATTGGCCTTTGTTTATTTCAGTATTTGATTTTTGTCCGACAATCTCCTACATTTTTGAACGGATCTCTCTGAAACTTGTTATACATTATAATCATGATGTGAAGTTGTCATTTTAAAGCACTTTGATTTGACAATTTTTGCAAAAGCTCTTGCATTTTGTTCATTTCAATTTGACTTTTTGTCCGGAAATTCTTAAATGTTTTTACCATGTCGGCTAACCACTCTAAGAATGACTCCTGGTCCTGTCAAAGTGTTTTTTACGGGTCGGTCGAAATTCCTATATTGCCACCATTTTGAAATTAATAACTATTTTTCTAACTTTAAAGTTAATGGGCCGGTTTAACTGAAACTCGTGGTCCTGATATAATTTTTTTACTCAAATTGGTAGGGATGATTGACATTATTATCTCCACTTCATATTTCAACAATAAAAATAAATACTGAAGGATTCAGGTGACCATTAAGGCCCATGGACCTGTTGTTATATTTGAAAGAAAGCTGTTACTGCCATTAAAGATTGGCAGATTCCACTAGATATACTGCTGTATTGCCATCAACATACAAAGTCTGTTTTTATGCATTTATTTTATTTTGTGGTTTGCCAGAAACTCTAGACTTGGGTAACTAAAATGGTCGCCAATTTACCTTTCATGTTGATTAATTTTTAAGTTTTTCCATGCTGCTTATTAAAAGAAGAATATGCAGTAATTTGGTTTGATAGATTATATTTGATGAAAATCCTGGAAATGAATCTGTTAAGCAGTTAAAGCACAATATAGATTTGCTGTTGCATACATAATTCATTATTATTTTGACATTTCAGAGTCGTTTTAATGAAATCTCAAAGGAAGTGAGTAGCTACATCAAGAAGGTGGGTTACAACCCAAAGTCTGTTCCTTTCATTCCTATTTCTGGATGGCATGGTGATAACATGTTGGAAGCCAGTTCCAATATAACCTGGTTCAAGAATTGGACCATTGAGAGGAAAGAGGGCAATGTCAGTGGTAAAACCCTGTTGGACGCCATTGACAGCATCCTTCCTCCATCTCGTCCTTCAACTAAACCTCTTCGACTTCCCCTCCAGGATGTTTACAAGATTGGAGGTAAATTTGAATGGTTTTGTTGGCCATATATAGCTAAATATAAAAATTTAAAATGTATACCTGCATAACATGGCACCTTGCTAGCCAATATTCACTTTGTATACACTCCACTTACCCTTGGCAGATATAGCCATGTTTTCATAATAAACCTTTTAACCAATCTGAAAGGATGACAATTTGCATACACGCTCCATCAGCGATGTTGAATGTCGACGCAGAGTATTAACACTTGGGCTGCTACATTGATTTCTATGTTAAGGGACACCACTGCAAAACCTTTATTATCATTGTAGGTGAGGCTGGAGAATAAATGTTTACCATCTTATTCATCGCTTCAATCTACAAGTCCGTCTCGCACACCTTTGGTTATTACTAGGGTACACTGCCGGGAATATCGAAAGTTTTGTTGCAAAACTGCAACTTAACTATTGATATTGAACATATATATATAGGCATCATCAAAACAAATCTTGAGCTGTAACCTGTTGTGTTTGTAGGTATTGGAACAGTGCCAGTTGGTAGGGTAGAGACCGGAATTATCAAGCCTGGAATGGTCGTCATTTTTGCCCCATCTGCTCTGACAACTGAAGTGAAATCAGTGGAGATGCACCACGAATCTATGACCGAAGCACTTCCTGGAGACAATGTTGGATTCAACGTCAAAAATGTCTCCGTTAAAGAACTGAAGAGAGGAAATGTTGCTGGAGACAGCAAGAACGATCCCCCTGCTGGAGTAGAGTACTTTATGGCTCAGGTTAGTAACTTTGAAAAATGGATGCAGAGAACGTACAACACATTTTATTCTGAGGCGGCGTCATAGTGCTGTCCACTTTAAAACGTGTGATCCCTTGGTCATTCATAGGGATCGTCAATCTAGGAAATCTTCTTGGCCAAATAGTGATTCTGGATTCTGTGATAGGTTTCAATAATTTAAAAAAAACAACATTTTTAGGTCAACTGAGCTTTGCTCAACTGACCTATTCTAATCGCTTTTCGTCAGTCATGCGTAAACATTTAACATTTTCAAATTCTTGAGATGGATTTATTTTTCAAACTTGATTAGAATCATCCTTGGTAAATGAGGCTACAAACTGTAAAATTGGGATTCCTACCCCATCCAAAGGGAAAATTAACCAATATTTCAAAAATCTTCTCTAGACTCGGAGGTACTAGTCATTTTCTCTGCATGGAAAGAAAGATCATCGGGGCTTTACTTAAATTGTAAATTTCAGGACACCCGAGGTAATCGTTCTCCCTTGGGGAGGGGGTGAAGTTTACTATGTAGTTTATATAGGGAAATAACTTTTTTGTGTATATTTTGACAATTTTCTGTATGAAATTATTTGCACTTGGTGAGAATTATCCTTGGAGAAAGATGGTTCCAAAAGGGAACATTTACCAATACTTTAAAATTCTTATCCTTTGATGACATGACAAGTATTGTATTTCACTTAGTTTACATGCTGATTTCCACATCACATCTAAACAATAAAATAAAGCTACCAGTACCTATGATATAACTCCGGTGACCGCTAAGGCCCTTGGGCCTCTTGTATAGATCACTTTCGGCAATCTTGTGAAACCAGTCCGAATTGAATTTGATCGTTAAGAACTCAAATTCTACGTCATGGTCCTTTGTCCTGCTTATTGACTAAACGGGGGCCTGCCAAAACATTCCAAGCAACAAGAAAGAATTAAACCTGGTATACCTTCTAAAATTTGTTTTTGTCTAAATGTATTGTTTGCCAAATTTTTCTTTGAGCTGAAGTATATCACAGTAACCATGTTTCCATTTAACCTGTACTAAAGATGACTGCAATATGTTGTAGGTTATTGTCCTAAACCATCCTGGAGAAATCCACGCCGGATACACCCCAGTCCTTGATTGCCACACTGCTCATATTGCTTGCAAGTTCACCAAGCTCTGTGAGAAACTTGACCGTCGGTCTGGAAAGAGTATGGAGAACGATCCCAAAAGTGTGAAATCGAACGATGCCTGTATTGCTGAACTTACTCCCTCGAAGCCTATGTGTGTGGAAGCTTTTAACGACTACGCTCCTCTTGGGCGTTTTGCTGTCCGTGACATGCGTCAAACGGTAGCTGTCGGAGTCATCAAGTCTATCAAGAAAGCCGAAAAGACCGGCAAAACCACCAAGGCTGCCCAGAAAGCCCAGAAGAAATGAAACGCATTTAACCTTCCACCAGTCCACGGAGGTGACATTAACTGCAGTAGCTTTTATTTTACCTCATCTGATTTAGATGATTGTGTGTCCAAGAAGGCAAAAATTGAAGAAAAAGTTCACAGAAAAACATTCAGAATTAAAATGAAATCATTTTTGAATGATCCACAGCAAAGCATTTACTGGACTGTTAAACTTCTTAGAAAAAAAATCCATCGGAAAGAAGTGAGAAGGAAAGAAAAAATGATGCTGTAGGTAACGGCATTAATTAAAATATTTAAATAACTATTTGTTTGTTATTTTATGAATTTATATGCCAGATGTGAAGAACAAAACACTAGTTGTATTACATTTCTAATGCAAGGTGGATTTAAAGTGTAGATTACCTGTGCTGCGTATTGGTTTTAATTTGTTGTGGGATATTTTATCATCTTAAATATTGGGAGTTTAAGGATACCCACCCCTTCACCTAAAATTGTAATGGGGCATTGTTATTGCATAACCAAATCACTTCTGAACAATAACCCATACCTTGCGGTAGTTTTTTTGGGATATTATGAAATTTCTATTTTGTTTTTAAAAAAAATCAATGAAACAAAATGCATTTTATTTGATGCAACAATGGTTTATTAGAAATATAACAATTAAAAAATGTCTATATTGATGAACAAAACTTTTTTTCTGTCAATATTACTAAAACAAAAAATGCTTAAGTGCCAATGCAACACGTTAAGGACAACGAAATATAATACAGGTGCCAACAAATATTTAACTTGCGGACTTTAAAAGATACAAAAAAAAAATGTGACAACTGACATTTGTACCAATAATTAAACAATATATCACTTTTTATATACGAATATAATACAGTAGGCATTACCAACCAATAAAATTTACTTCAAATGTAATAACCAATAAAATAAATGTCGCAATAAACGACGATTGCAAAGTTTCACATAATTTACAAATAACATACTATGTTGTGAAATAACAAAATCGCACTATATACAACAATAATAAACTTGAACATTATGCACAGATAACAAGATATTGTGATATAAAAATAACACTTGTATGTAATATAAAAATGAACTTTTAGGCCTATTGGGCATATACGTGTAAACAAATTTCAAAATATGATCATGGCTATTGTATAAAATACTTGGAAGGCAAAAATTTCTTTCCTGTTGGGTATTGCACAACCGACGCCTAGTACCGCATTCCTTACAACCTTTCTGGTCCAGGTATTGGGATAACATTGCGAGAGTTATTTGCGTATTCGTGTTCACTGGTCGGTGTCGGCTCATGCGCAAAGTTGTCTGTAAGCTTTTAGTTTAAACATATTTTATTGCCAAAACAGTGACAACAGTATAGGGCACAAGTTACAACATTATTTACGCCCTTTCCTCAAATATATACATCGGATTTACAAACATGGCACAACTGGATATCCAATAATATGTAGAACGAAAAAGAGAAAGAACAACATTGAACAGTCTCACAAATTGAGTATAGAAATATAAAACGCCTTACGAATTAAAACCTACCGCTGGTCTTTATGAATTTTTGTACGTAACGAAAAATATCATTATTTTGTTTAGAAGACAGATCCGGAATACAAGATAACAATATATCTAAGGAGATTTCATTAACAAAATTTATATTTTGAAACAATTCAAACCTCTGGTGTGTATAAACTGGACATTCAAAAAAGAAACGATAGGCGTTCCACAGACACAGGCGGGACTATCTACGATGTAAATAAATCATAATTTAGGGAACTGCAGTTGTACCTTAATTTAGTGTGAATGACATTTAGTTTTCGTTCACCATAACCATAATAACTGGGCGTCTTGGTGTCCGATTCTCGAGAGATGGCTTTTTTGAATCTAACTATAGTGACCGATGATCTTTTAGCAGTATCTAAATTGTTCCAAGAGCGAAGCGTAGAAGGTAAGAAGGATGAATTTGTACTAGAAAGTCTGAAATTTGGTATTACAAAGTCATTACTGTTTCTTAAAGGATATCTGACATTTTGGTTTACTGTATTGGGTAGAATTTTGTTTAAGAATGCAGGGGTGATACCATTTTTCATTTTGTGCAATAACTGCAGTTTCCTCCTTTTTCTCCTGTCTGAGAGTCTTTCTAACCCCGATTCAAAATAGAGAGCATAATAATTAGCATAGGAAGGACGACCCGCAGTAATGATACGTGCGGCTTCACGTTGACATTTTTACATCCGTCCCATAATTCACAACAGTAATAAAAAATTGGCAAAATAAAAGAGTTATATATTTTCAACAAAGTTTCTCTTTCAAGAATATGTTTCAGACTTCTAAGAACATTTATTTTCTTCATAACGGAGGTATAAATAGCTAAAATATTATCCCCCCAATTACCTGCAGAATTGAAGACTACACCAAAATGCCTGTGTTGATCACTAAAATTCAATAATTGGTCGTTAAAACGTAATTCTAAATCTCCATTTAGTTCTATCGCATTAGAGATAAATAAAACATTGGTCTTGCTAGCATTGAAATCTACTAACCATTTTTTGGCCCAATTACTTAAAGACTCCATGTCTAGGTTAAGGACAGTCTCTATTTCTTGACAGGAAGAAGATATGTGTAAGACAGAAATATCGTCTGCGAAAAGTCTAAAGGCAGAAAGCAATACATCAGATATGTCAGTAATATATACTAAGAATAATAATGGGCCTAAAATAGAACTCCTGCTTTTATGAAACCAGCACGAGAAAGCACCAGCTATAGTGAAAATTTGTTTGACTGAAACACGAAGAAAGAACATTGAAAGAAGAGACTAGAAAGAACATAAAAATTAGAACAGACAATAGCTTGAGAACAAATGTTGCTCTCAGAACGATCATAAATATCGCAGTAATAGCGTTTGTTTGATCGACTGACGGATTTAAGTATTATTCTTACAGTAAAGCAAATGGGGGGAAAACAGAGATCTATGTCAAACGTAACAACCATTTGGATAAAAATCATCGTATGGCCACTTGCAACTCAAACTCAAGATTCAAGATTCAAGATTTTCAAGATTTTTTATTACGCTCTGACAAACAAAGTGTGTAACAAGAGGTCAAACAAAATAACATCAATCAAAATAAAACATGACAGAGAGAGTAGATTACACATGGACAGATTAAGCATTATTTCATAGACAGATTCAGCATTATTTCATAGACAGATTCAGCAATATTTCATAGATAGATTCAGCAATATTTCTTAGATAGATTCAGCAATATTTCATAGATAGATTCAGCATTATTTCATAGATTCAGCAATATTTCATAGATAGATTCAGCATTATTTCATAGATAGATTCAGCAATATTTCACATTGTTTGATGTACATATGTATCAGATTTATTGTTACAAAGTAACAGTTAGGTTATACATGAACAGATTCAACATTATTTTCTTACATGTGAAACAGTAAGTTTACACATAATTATTTCATACATGTGAAACAGTAAGATTACACATCCTCATTTCATACATGTGAAACAGTAGTATTATACAAGGACAGATTTAGCATTATTTCACACATGTAGATTACATGTGAACAGATTCAGCATTAGTTCACACGAGTGAGAGTAGATTACACATGAACAGATTCAGCATTAGTTCATGCATGTGACACAGAAGAATATATATGAACAGATTTATCAGCATTAGTCATATATGTATTGGATACTCAATTTTCACAGCAAATTATCTTCACTGCCATAATCATAATGCAAAGTATAGTATTTTTGACATACTGATTTATTTCAATTGTTATTTTTTTATAATTATTTGCAGTTTTACAAGAAATGTACTAACCCTTTTGATTAATTGTTTGTTACATATTGTGAACATTCCTTTCATTTTATCAACATTTGGATTGGTGTAATAATATTTTGGAATAAATTTTTCCCTAATCTGGCGTATGGATTCTTGTTGACATTTAAACAAATAATGAAATTCATCTCCTGTTTCATTTCTATTACAAAAAGTACATTCTCTTTCCTCTCGAGGAATTCCCATCCAACGGCCAGTTTCCAGGGGCAGCGGAAAGTTTGACGAGCGAAATTTGCAAAACACAACACGATCCCTCTTGTTTAATTGAGTTAAGTAATTTTCAAAACCAAAATTAGATTTAAATAATAGATAATTACTACTTTTTTCGATATCGGCATACCACTTTTGAATAAACTGTTAGTGAAATGAGCCCGTTTCGTGCATTGCATGTATAATATTATATAACTGACTCGATACTTTACCATTTTCTGTTATTAGTTTGTGCCAAAATAAAATCATTCTATTTTTAATAGTATTTTCTAAAGGAAAACGTCCCGATTCTCCATATCCCATATAATTAGGCGTAGATTTCCTTAAATTGAGAACTTTTTTTTATAAATTTCAAATGTATCGTTTCCAAGAGGGTAATATTTTCGAATCCCCATATCTCTGACGCGTGTAACAGTATAGGCAATATTAATGTATCAAAGAGTTCAAACTGTAGGTCTACAGGTAAATTGATATTTCTGATTTTCCTATATAAAGCAAATAATGCTTTCTGGGCTTGTTCAGCTAGTTTCTTTTTCGCCTTACCAAAGTTTCCAGTATAGTTAAACAATAACCCAAGGTACGGATAAGAATCTACAATTTCAATTTCCTCTCCGCAAAGCATAAATGTACTATTGATTTTCGATTTTCGTTTTGAAAAGACAACTATTTTAGATTTATTTGTATTAACATGTAATTTCCATATTTTACAATAATCGCCGAAGACATCTAAAGCTTTCTGTAGACCCTCGGGCGATTCTGCCAGTACAACAGTGTCATCCGCATATAACAAAATAAACAATTTTAGGTACATTCCAATACAATTTTGACTAAGATTATCAATATCTTTGAGACATTTCACCTCATTATTAGACAGGAACTCCTCTAGATCATTCAAGTAGATCGAAAATAAAAATGGCGATAAATTTTCCCCTTGTTTTA